CTGCAGATTGGTGGTACATTCCTATAAATATTTACTCAGAATTGAATTCATTGGGAATTATTCCCAAATCAATCCATATGAGTAACTCTGGTATTTTGTTTATTTAATCACGTTTCTAATTTGTAATGCACCTATATTGAGTGTGTTAGAAAAGATTTTTTTATGGTTGGATGGAGCAGAATGTTTGTAAATGTGGATTGGCATCCTGAGCAGCTGGCCAAAAGAAAACCAGCACAGAGTATAAAGAAATATTTTATGTCTATAGACCAAATTCCCAGAGTAGGTTATGTAATCTTTCTACACTGCTTCTTTTAAATAACTCTTTACAAACATTCTGCTCTATCCAACCATGAAAAAATTTTATACTCCAAAAAGTACAGTAAATGGAATTGCAAGTATGGAAGAATTATACTTAAAATATAGTATAGAGGTAGAGCTACAGAGTGTTATCAAATGATTCGGGCAAATAAATTTGCACCAGTACATGTTTTTGCACTTTGAGAAATAATTGCTATGCCTGAAAGAACAAAAAAAGTATTATAGTAGGAGGACTCATAGCTTTAATCTATTGTTGGATCCTAATTTTGGTTATTTCTTTTGAAATTTCCAAGATGTGGGATTTTATGTGGGATCTTATTACAACTGAAAATGTAAGTATCTAGAAAACTTTTTTTTTAATTTATCTAAGTCAGAGGTAGGTAGCTTGCAGTATGCATCTACCATTCCCTGAGAATTTGATTATTGATCAGAACCCACAGTGTGGTGGTTTCTTGCCTGAATTCAGTGGCAGTTCCTACCATGTTTCCCTAAAAATAAGACAGGGTCTTATTTTCTTTTGACCCCTGAAATAAGCACTTGGCCTTATTTTCAGGGAGGTCTTCTTATTTTTGAGGTGCAGAAGGCAGCGAGCATGGTCACCTCATGGCTGCTGCTGTGTTACAATATTTTTAGGGAGGGTTTATTTTCAGGGGAAGGCTTATTTTAGAGCATGCGCTCAAAAGCCCAATTGGGCTTATTATCTGGGGAGGTCTTATTTTTGGGGAAACAGGGGAGTTATCTGCTTCTCACTTGCCTTCCAAAGCATAAAAAGACCTGTTAAAGTACCAGTATCTATTGACTTCAAAAAGTCAGAAGAAACTCATCAATCACCATTCTCATTCATTCTTGAATTTCCATAAGGCCCATCACTTTTATTCTACTCATTCAATCCCATTATCATGCATCATATCACCTATCAAAACATTTCCAACCCTCTCTGAATTGCATTAATTCAGACTGTTACAGTTTCCCCTAATTTTCCTCTGGTTCTTCCAGATGGGTACCATAGATATTGATCCCTGAGACACATCATGGCTTTGGTCTATTGAAGCTTTCACAGAAGGTTCTTTTTTAATTCACAAAAATTACACTCCAGCCTCAGCTATACCCATGCCATATACAGGATTCCCTGTAATCAGTTTCGGTATATTTTGGTTAATGCACCATAGTCACAATAAAAATTTGCTATAGAGTATTTAGTCAAATCTTCTTTTTAAATAGATATACTACCCTTATTGCTATTCCATAGTCAACTAAAGCGAGTAACACATTAAGAATGAAATAAGAGTACTGTATTTTTCAGAGTATGAGACACACTGGAGTATAAGATGCACCAAGATTTTGAAGAGGCAAAAAAAAAGTTTTTGCACTCTGCAGGCCTCCTAAAAATGGCCCGTTTTTTTGAGAAAAAGGGCCCATTTTTTGTCAAAAAAGGGCATGAATTAGGAGGCTTGTAGAGTGCTCCTGGGAGCTGGGAGGGCAAAAATGATCAAAAAGCGGCCCATGTTTCACTAATTTCTGCCCTCCCCAGCCCCCAGGAACACTCTGAAAGCCTCTTAAAGGCTATGCATGGCCATTTTGGTGAAGGGGGAGGTTTAGGGAGGCAAAAATATGCTGTATTCAGTGTATAAGACACACCCAGATTTTCACCTTCTTTTTTGAGGGAAAAAGGTGCGTCTTATGCTCCGAAAAATAAGATATTCCAATAAAACTTGCTTTTGGCAAACTATCACTAGGAATAAGCTGAATTCCTGAATTTGAAATAATTTGAGTTCAAAATACCTGTTTAAAAGAGCAACTCCCCCCCCCCAAGTTTGAAATGGGCTGCTCTTAATAATCTGTTCCAAATTCAATATGGCCTCATTTCAAGTTCATAGCATTGTGAAATTGTCAAATCAGTACAGCCAGTTTCAAACTGTAAATAATTATTTCAGAATGCTTTGCATACCCATGGTAATTATATGCTAAGTGTACTTTCATAATGTTTCTTCATTATTTGTCTAGATCAGGGGTGTGAAACTCAAGGCCCAGGGGCCAGATCCGGTCTGTGGGGTGCTTAGATTTGGCCCCAGGGTTGCTCTGGAAACAGCAAAGGACTGGCCCATGGTGCATTTGCCAGTGAAAACAGAGCTCAGGAGAGCAGCATATGGCCCTCCCGAACTTTTCATTGGCAGAGGGTTGCAGGAGGCCGTCACAGTCGAAAATGGAGCTCAGGTGCCCATTTTCTCTGGTAGAGAAACCACCAGAGGTGCCTCCAACACAGGTGGCATCAAGTTGGCCACCCCACCCACTCCCATCTCTCCCTCCCCAATGTCAAATACAACCCTAATGCAACCCTACATGAAATCAAGTTTGACACCCCTGGTCTAGATCTTTCCAGAATTGTTGTTGGGGGGGGGGTGATTTACAGTTCACTGGGTCTTCTTTTGTCTCCTTTTTCAAGGTGACAAAATAGATAGGATTTATTCCCCTCCAATTATTTGTGTCTTTATCAATTTTCCAGACTTTCTCAAAAATAATACTATGTTTCCTTAATTGTAAAAAAAAAGAAACCCAACAACTTCACATATAAACTTTGCATAAAATAACTGTTGCTGATGACAAGGAAAAAAGCAATTAAAAATAGCTAAAATATAAAATGTCTTTATTTCTCTTGAGACTTCAACTTTTAATAAAGGATGCTAAACTAGCGTATAATCATGTGAAGAGATTAAATATTCCACAGACTGCCCTGAATCGGTTTCAGGAAACAAGTGCTAGGCATGTCACTTGATTTTGATCAGTGATCCAAGTTCACACTATAAAAAAATCAGGAATTAATTAGGATGTTCATTCTAACACCTTTCACTACGTGCTTTTACACATTATACAATTAGCCAGAGGATTCAAGCTTCCTGTACTGACAAAACAAGAAATAAAAGACAGCTCCATATATACATATGTAGGATATAATACCACATATTCTGATGTGAATATCTTCATTCAGAAATGGAATTTTACCAGCTGGTGGTAAGTAACTTTTCAATATCTCCTAGATTTGTGAAGCAAAGGCTGCACAGGAGATTACCTCACTTCTGTCTGGTACTGTATTTGGTTCACACATGTTTAGGTATGATGGTTTCTTTCCTCCCATCCTTCTGTTTTACAGATTCATCTGTTGGATAGAAGTATCAAATTTGGCTAGGTTCTGATATGTGTTATACCTAGTTTTCTCCCTCCTTATTTTGTATGTCTGTAAAGAAAAGTATAGCTTTTAAAGTTGTACTGTTACTGCAGCCCATTGCTTATCTCCTACATTCTTGCCCACCACATATTCTTTCTTTATTTTGATTTGGCTATGAATAAGGTAGAAGTGATATGATTCTAGGCAAATTGAGGAGAAAACAGGAAGATAGAGGAATATTTTGGGGCTCAGTGAGAATAGAAGAGAGTGTAGAAGAAGAATAAATGGCACCATTAATATTTTCATAGGTCTTTCGCCTTGGAGCAGAAGTTAAATCTCAGCTGGTTAATACAACTATTAGGGGGGAGCTGCATTCTTTTATGATCTGAGGAAAAATCTCTGTGCATCTGTAATATAAATGGAATTATAGAAGTAATGTATGGAAGCTGACTTACTTATGGATTTCTTTTAGGTTTTCTATTATTTTTGTCTTTTATTATTTCTTAAGTGAAATAATAAATAATAAGAGTTCTTATATAACTTAATACATGCACAGATACAGATATAGATGTTTCTGTATGGAGGATCATTCTGTAAATGGACATTGCAGATAACAAAGAATTTACATGAGCCATTGCAATGCGCTCTACTTGAGGTTGTTCATGAAGCTACAGCTTGTTTGAAATGTAGTGGCACAACTAGTAATGAATGCCACTCAGTATGCTATGCTGCATTGGATGCTACTTGGCTTTCCAATGCAATTCAAGGTGTTGGTTCTTACGTATCAAGCTTTGTATGGCATAGGGCCTGTATACATGAGAGACCACTTGTCTCCAATTGTTTCTACTTAATCAGTCATTGCAGCAGGATGGGTGTGCTCCTGGTTCCCTCCATTAAAAGTTGCCATCTTGTGGGACTGAGAAACTATACTTTCTCGGTTATGGCCCTCATGCTCTGGAATAGTAACCCTGTTCACCAGAGATAAGGACGGTGCCCTCTTTTCTAGGGTTCTCAAAAGCTTTGAAAATCTGGTTTTGGTGGTACAGTGGTTAGAGTGTAGTACTGCAGGCTACTTCTGCTGACTGCTGGTTGCCTGCAATTTAGCAGTTCAAATCTCATCAGGCTCAAGGTTGACTCAACCTCCCATCCTTCCAAGGTTGGTAAAACAAGGATCCAAATTGTTGGGGGTAATATGCTGACCCTGTAAACTGCTTAGAGAGAGCTGTAAAGCACTGTGTAGCGGTATATAAGGCTAAAAGCTATTGCTATTGGTCTGAGGCCTGGGATTAATATTTATTATTTATTTAATGGACCCTGTTTTATTTTGTGGATTTTGTTATTCGAACATTTTAGTCTGGGTTGTCCATTGATTTAATATTTTTAAATGTAATATTAATTATGCATTAAGTCAAGATAGCTTACTATACCATAACTATTACCCAGAATGCCCACCTTATTTGGTGTCTTCCACAAATAGTTTATACAGAAGATCAGTACTCAATATATCTCCCCTCCGCAGGTAAAGGAGAAGAATTTTCTAACTTAGATTTTGCAACAGAGAGGATACAAAGAAGTAAAGAACGTACATGCCAATGGCTTTATACACAAGTTTGGGATTATGAAGAAGCTAGTCCCATAACTGAAAAATGGTGAGATCATTGCTTTTAAGTTAAATGTTTGGATTTTTCTAATATTGCATGTAATACAAAACCCATCTTAATTATTCTAAAGGAAATACAGTTCTCCCCCCCCCCCACCTCCACAAGGGTGCTATTACTAAGTTTGAAATGTGCTCCTGTTAAGAATTAATTTAATAACAATTTCATTTCATTCTGCCAGTTTTTAAGCTATTGTTATGACACACCAGCATGGAGTATCTCTTTAATATAACCATGAACATATTTTTTGTTAGAAAGTAGAATATTTTTTATGAAAAGAATAAAAATATTTTTGGATAGTTTTTAAATTGTGGAATGAATTTAAATAATATAACTTAACAGCCAACCAGCTACAATAAAGGATGCTGTAATATGCTAAAATGTGGCAGGTGAAATTTTTGAACTAAACATGGACTAAGCAGGAGAGTCAGCAGCAAAGTGAAGGACTAAATTTGAGTGAAATATGAAGAAATGTAATTAGGTCAAAAATAGAAATATTTTTATTCTTTAAAAATCACATATATAAGTATTCATTTTCAATAGCTGAGAAAACATTTTTTTCTTTTGATTTCCATTGCTCTTTTTTAACTCTTGTTTTAAATTGGAAAAAAAAATACTTGAAGCAAAATATGGCTTCTTGGCTTCAAGTATCATATCTTGTATGGTATGTATGCCTTAAAATGAGATATAGATATTTCTGCTGTGTTCCGTAAAAATATAGAAAATCAATTTATAATCTTTTCAACTGTATTTTAAATAATTACAATTAAAAACATCAATTAATGAAGCATTAACTTTGAAAAATGATTGTTATGGTTATATACTATTTTTTAAATCAAATATTCTGATTTCTTGTGTTTTCTTGCCTGAATGTATATTTTAGATGAAAAAATACTAAATTAAAACTTCATACTTTTTTCATCTTAGCATTTAATTATTGAAAGAGAATTAATTTTCCAATAATTAAATTTAAATTAAATTATCTTTGCATATAATTGCATTTTAATACTTGTTAATCTTTTTTAAAAAAATCTAGAAAAATATTATTTTAAAAAATGTTATTCCCTTATGCAATTTGAATGGTTTCTAAATTGTAATGAGTTATTTCTGTACACCTATATGGCACACAAATAACTATAGGATATGTATTAAGATAATATAAATGTTATAATTGATTCTATTACTCTGAATATTATGGTAAAGCACTTTATAGAAACATGTGTTCAACAGCTGTTAAACATCTGACAAAATCCAAGATTATTGCACCAGAGGTACACTTTCAATTCACTAGTAAATTTGATAAATTTGTATTTACTCAATAACTTACGTTTTAAGATTTTTCTTACTGCTTACTAGAAGTACCAAATTACAGGTAGTCTTCGAGTTACAACCACAATCGAGTCCAAAATTTATGTTGCTAAGTGAAACATTTGTTAAGTGAGTTGGTCTCATTTTACAACTTTTCCTGCCACAATTGTTAAGCTAGTAACCTGGTTGTTAGGTGACTTTGCTTAACATAAGGTTGCAAAAGTAACTCACTTGACCCCAGGATACTGCAACTGTCATAAATATGAACCACTTGCCAAACATCTGGATTTTAATCATGTGACCATGGGAATGCTGCAATGGTTGTAAGTGTGAAAAATGGTCATAAGTCACTTTTTTCTGTGCTGTTGTAACTTTGAATGGTCACTAAATGAACTACCTGTACTTATTCTGGTTAAATTGTTAAATTGTTAAAAATATATGTTAAAAATTGTTAAAAATATATGTTTAAAACAGGAGCCAAATATGTTAATGATAGCAGATTAAAATGATAACATTTTAACAACCAATATAAGGAGTTTTACAGTCTACTTCTAAATGTCTTTCCCTCGGTGTAAATTCTACTGATTATTGTTAAACTTACTAATAAGTAAACAAATGCACTCTTAAGTCAGGAACCAACACTTGTACAATTATTTTTGTGTGTGATCAAGTAGAATTTAGATTTATCATACAGTCTTTATATAAAGCTACCTACTTTTGAAATATAAATATAATGTAGAATAAGTTATAGGTGGTCGCTAAAAATCATAGGCACACATTCCTAAGTCTCTGAAGTTGTTTTACTAGGGAGAAAAGTATATCCCACTTTAATTAACTTGGATGCATGTTGGACTGTCACTGATTTTGTACATATTTTCTAATCACTATTATAGTAAGCATTTCTTACCTGAGATAGATCCAGAAGTTCTCAAGGGAGGAAGAGTTCAGCTTGTGGTAAGATACTTTTTCCATGATAAAAGTTTGCAATAAATGATGGAGGCTGTAATCCTGTGCATGCTTATCAGCACTAGTAACAATAATTACTTCTAAATAAAGATGTATATTGTAATAGTTCCGAAATATGTATTAAATGCTTAGGTTCTAATTTCTGTAATTTTATAACTCTTTACAATGTTTAAGGCTCTAACCACTTTGTCACCATTTGTTAAATTTTAAATTTATATAAAGTTTAGTTTCTTATTTCAGGGAGACATGCATTAACATTCCAATCATAGCTGTCAGAAATGGATAAGCAGTAACCTAGTATATATTTTTTTCAGTTTGTTTATCCATTTATGCTTATACTCTTTAAAGCTCTTTAAAAAAAATGCAATTTACTGGCTTCTGAAAGGAGACACTTAATAAAAAAATACATACATTTGGGAGCTATTTGCATAATTTGAGTTTCATGTTTTATTTATTATCTATGGAGTCCTAGGATAGAACATTGTAACAATCCTCAAGAAGTACAAAATAAGAACATGAAAATGAGCAGGGGAAAGGAAAGATTTTTTGCTGGAAATTGTAAGTAAACACTGAAAACCAGCAAAAAATGTCAAAAATTGTGATAAAGTGAGTGTAGGATGCTGCAAATGGTGTAAATGTAAGCCAGTTGCCAGGCATGCAGAATTCATTCATGTCATTGCAAGGGGGGTGCAGCTATTAGAACTTAGAAACCAGATCATAAGTATCTTTAGATGGGGTTCATCATCATGTTGAATGGTCTTTAAGCAACTGGTCATTAAGGAAGAATTTTGTTCCCTATGCCATCTGTCTGGTAAACTCGCAAGATTTGTTTTTCTTGCCATGTACATGCATGTATCCAAACTAGACTATGTTGTTTCTCTGTCTCATATAATATATGTGGGTATATGGATATATGCATATTTATTTGTTTGTTTATTGTTTATGTAGTGCATATTGGAGGTAGTGACCCTTTGAGCTGTATGCAACCAAATTTCATTTTAATGTATGCCAATTAGTGTACATTTAAAGTGACAATAAAATTAGTCTAAGTACCTACACTGAATTGGAAATTTGTATATGTGTGTATATTCATATTCATGTTTGCACAAACACTTTAGATCAGATCTGTCAAACTTTCATCATCACGGCAGCATCACGTGACATATTGGGATTTTTTTTCCCCTTTGCTAAACTGGGCTTGGCCAGTGGGTGACACTTCCGATCCACAGGCTGGGAGTTTGATAGCCCTGCTTTAGATTCAAAGAGGGAGTCTTGACTTCTTGACTTCCTGGGCACTTGTATCTTTTTCATGGCAACATAATACTTTTTTGTTGTGTTAATGCTATACAGGTAGTTCTCCAGAAACAATAGGCCACTTAATGATGAGTCAAATTTATGACCAACACCTCAAAACTATATGCAACCTTATTTCAAAGTTACGACAGCTGTGATGCCAACCCCTGCCTCTCTCCCCCCCCATCCCACCTGCAATGCTTGGGCTGGTTCCCCATGCCTCCATTTTCAGGGGCCCATCCCTTGCAGAAATGGCTATCGCTTTGGCTAGGCAGTGGGAGGCTGCAAAATTCTCCTGCCCCTTCTCTGGCTTTGAGAAGCCAGACCTTGCATAAAATGCAGCTTCAGGAAAACCTTTCCAAAACCTTCCCCTTCCTTAATTCCCCCATCCCACCCCGCTCCTTCCTTCAGCTATATTTCTTCAATGAAAAAACAAAAACAATCTTTCTTTCCCCCCCCCCATGTCCCTCCCTCCCGCCGCCCAAAATTAGGTACTAAAACTAAACTCTCTCTTTGGTCTCTGATATGTATCCCCTTTTAAAACCTTACCTTGACTCCAGGCTGAAGAGTAGAGGAACAAAGCAAGGAAGGAAATAAAATCTTTCTGCAGTTTTTTCCCCTAAGGAAAAAAATCATCTCTTAAAAGTTGTGCTTTGCAAGCTTTAGCTGTCTGCCTTTAAGTCCTTACTAGGTTCTACAGGGAGTCAGAAGGATAGGTAAAGTGTGCAAAGACACAACATCGTCCATTTTGTTACACAAATTGTAGATGAAAGGTTGGGGTTTTTTTGTTTTTTGTTTTTATTTGAAGGGAAAAGTGCAGAAATATTTTATTTACTTGCTCACTTTGATCCTGGAGTCAAGGTAAGGTGGGTCTTTGTTTTAAAGTATGTCAGCTTCCCACTTCTTTTACTTTATATTTCTAAAAAAATATACATATCAAATTAGGTAGGAAAGTTGGTGGCCATCAGAAATGTTGTCTGCAAACATATTGATAGCCTGAGCTCATTTTAGGAATATATTAATACCACCCACATGTACATTTTATAGTAGCACTGATTTTGCCATAAATATTAATCTATATACAAACTGATATTTATATATGTATATACACACATAGAGATTTCATAAATACAGATAGTCCTCGATTTACAACAATTCATTTAGTGACCGTTCAAAATGCAGTGGTACTGAAAAAAGTGACTTATGATCAATTTTTACACCTATGACCATTGCAGCATCCCTGTGGTCACATGGTCATAATTAGGATGCTTAGCAACTAACTCATATTTATGACAGTTGCAGTGTCCCGGGGTCATGTCATCATCTTTTGGGACCTTCCACCAAGCAAAGTCAATGGAGAAGCAAGATTCACTTAACAACAGTTTGGCTAATTTAACAACTACAGTGATTCACTTAACAACTGTGGCAAGAAAGATCATAAAATGGGGCAAACTCACTTAACAAATGTTTCACTTAGCAACAGTAGTATTGGGCTCAATTGTGGTCATAAATTGAGGACTACCTGTATTACATTTATAAGTTATATAGGGCTCTTCATAGAAACCAAATTAATAAAGATTTTAGCTTCAGAAAATATGATCCTTATGTGAAAGTAATTCTTCTTTTACTTAGAAATTTGCTTATATATTTATACCAATAATTCTATGATCTAAATATCTATATATCATCTATATCTACATACATCTATATCAGTCGTTTATAATTTAGTTATATAATGAAGGTGAAATAACTTAAACCACTGTAGAATTGATAAAACAGATACTTGCATAGGATTAAGTGGACATATGACAACAAGAATCAGATATAACATTTCTGGCATTCAGTTCCAACTTTAAATTACAGACTGCCCAGTAAATGATCTTAAGCTGTTTAAGGTTTCATCAGTTGTCTGCAAGTTTTATTTTCTTCAAAATTACAGTACTAAAATGTTGTCTTTTGTTGCTGCGCTGATTCTGATCACAAACCACAATTTTAAGATCGCCTCCCATTTACCAAAATGCTTTGACATAGTGCATTTGTTCAGAATGGGCAGCAATAAAGGATTGTGGGATCATTCTGAAGAAGATTGTTTGACAGAGCTGGCTTGTTTATTTGAGAGTAATGTGAGCTGCATTCAGAAAATGTCATATTTTGTTTCTTGATTGTGTACATTCTCTCTCACTGATTCCAGACAAGCCCTGTAAGGAGAGAAGATACGGATTTAGAGCTTGTTTCCCTGACCAGTGGAAGTACTTTGACTCAGAACAGAGAAAAAAATAATCAGCCACACAGACACTCTGCAGAATCTTCAAGTAAGCTGGTTTTTTTTTTCTTTTTAATAATAGTAGATAAAATTCAGATCACCTGATTCGTTTCCACATTACAAATGTTTTTAGTAACGTGGTCAAGTTTTTGCTTTGGATTCTGTCCTTTGAAATGTTATTCTGTTTCTGTTATGTATATATAGGGTATATAAAACTATATATGGGCACATTTAAAATGTATGGACTTGAAAAAGTTTTATTTCTGTGTGTGTTAACTAATTAAATGTATCTAGAAAAAGGGGGAAATCTTTGTATATTTAAGTTTATAGGTGCATATATATTGCCTTATAAATTCAATTATGTGAAAAATTAGAGTTGTCAATGGTTTTGTTTAACTTGAAAACTGTAATTTAATTACTTATTCCTGTAGGCCTTACCAAACCCTTAATATTTAATTTCCTAAGGCAGGTACTTATCTCATTTTTAAGCCACAGTCCTAAAATCATTTGCTTTTTGGCAGCTTTCACTTAAATAAATGGCTAATGTGCTTTGCTTTCAATGATTTAAATAATCATTATTTATGAATAAATGAGAAGACTACTTTTTATAATTTTAATTTCTACAGAATGTAATGAAGTGGCAGCTGCAACAAATTTATATTCTATTCTTTTTTCTAAACTTCTTATAATGTTGAATTGCAAGTAAGGGCCTGCCCAAACAATTATATTAGGAGCACTGGAGAGCATGCATAATCCTTGTGATTTTGTTTCAAATTTAATACGTGTGTGTATGCTTGCACACATGCATATACATGCATACACACACAATAAATAATTAGCCTGTTACTTTAAAAAAAATCTTGTGGAGATAATTGCTAATGGATACAATTTTAGCTCCTTTATTTGGAGCTATCTCAAATGTTTAATACTGCATCCTAGGTACATTGCTGGTAAGTCTTGAGAACCAGAATGGATTTACTTCTGAGAAATTATGGCAAGGATTACACTATATGGAATAGTACTTTCCAAAATACTTTCATAATAATATTTTCATAATAATATAAAACTCTATAGTATTTTGTTTTGCTCCTGCCACTGTTAGATAATTACAATTATTATCAATACAGATAGTATTCATTTTACTTGGATCAATAGAAAATCATATGCATTATACTAAATGAGACATACTGAAGTTTGGGGTGTTCAAATTCTTCTCTTTTTTAAAAATAAATCTAGTATCATCAAAGGTATGCTTATTTGCAGAAGAAACAATCACCTGTCAATATCTTCTGTTTTCTTATGAAGCATTAAAAGCAATTCCAATACCTGAGTAACTTATGTAAAGAGTAAATTCTTTTACTTCCCTGTTGTAATTTAAACTGGTACTGTATTTTGGAAGTAGAGAAAATAGAGTAGATGCATAATATAAAATTGAAATTGTAGATAGTGGGTGCTTTAAATATATAGATATAATGGAATTGAATAGAAGAACTAAACATTTCATGCTTTCAACCCAAAGAAAGCTATTTTTTTATCTTGTTGTCTAATCAGAATCCATACCCATACTTATATATAAATTTTTGAATGAAATCCAACAGGATTTTCTCCTTTCAATGTAATACTAGACTAAATAGGAACTGTTGGGAACATAGCTGTGCTCTTCCACAATTATCTTTCATTTCAGTATCTTTTTTAAAGATGTCTTCATGAGTTACATCTTGTGGTTTTAGATTTACATGGTTATCTTATAGCTCTTGAGACCAGATGTTAGTGTTTGTTTTTTCTTTTCTTTTGTGAATGAAAACAGTTCTAACTTTCTCCAGAGGATAGGAAGTAATTAGCATAAGAGATGGACAAAGAAACAATTTATAACTATATAATATTTGTTAGCAACATATAGTGATAAATACGGAATTCACATCTTATGCAGAAACAATAGCCTTGAAGGGGTTTTAAGAATAAACTCTTTCATAAGAAAATATCATTTTCAAAATCTCCAATGAAATTCCTCCCTTTTTTTCAACATATTTGAAATTTTGCCAAATTTAAAATTATGCCTTAAGATATAGAATTTAACTCAATTATATTTTCTCACTTGGCAAAATTAGAAACCTTATCAAAAACATTACTCAATATCAACATTTTACATTACTGATCAGCTCTTTATATATAGTTTCCTGTGTGGTTCTTATAATTTCAGTGAAGAGTTCACTGCATATCCAGAGTTGTTCCTAATGATATTCTAGTGCATTATAAACATTTTCAGTGCTTTAGAAGTAATATGAATGCTTCTTTGTATTAGTAGATCTGTAATTGACCAACAGACAATGGCTAAAACCCACCAAGAAATAGCAGCAATGTTAAAAATTCTGGAAAATAGAATCTGTTTGGGGCTTAGTTGCTTGGAAAATTTATTCCATAAGTAGACTTACAGCATTTACAAACATGTAATTCAGCTACTTATAGAGATGAAAACCAGGTATTGAGTGTTGTTGCTTGCAGCTATTGCATATCAAGTTTCTTTTAAATTCAACATGGGAAGATGATATTCATAGGGATGTAGTTTAGAAACCAAATACAGCACATGGTATCTCTGGAAAGCTGCCTCTTCACATGGCAAGTTCATTTCCCATCTGATAGTAGTTTTTTCAATTAAAATAAATTGAATCAGAAGGTGACATGCTGCAATCTCTAACTCTATCTTTGTTTATAATAATGCTTCTGGATGATTCACTAAGTCTGTCCATTCTACCACTGCCTGTTGTCTCTCTATTCTGCAAATTGTTCTCTTCCAGCAAACAGTTTTCTCAAACAGACATACTGAAAAGCATGGAGAAGAAGAAGCAGTAATTACTATGGGGAGATCAGTAGATACTGAAAGACAGACAAACAGATGTCTATGCCAGTTTTGGAGACCTGACTATAGAATACTTCAGTTAGAATGGCCTAAAAAATACAATACTCATCAAACTACATAGGATGACTTCTTAGTTTATTTTCCAATTTTTCCCAATGTCCTCTGCTGCAGCTTTCTATAATTACCCATATTTAATGGATATTCTGCCTGAAAGGGTAAGTGTAGGCTGGCTGGTTGCCTGGCTAGTTTGTTGGTCTGAGGAAGGGAAATTACAATAAACAATTGTTTGTTAAGAGGAAATTATTTAGTATCATAAGAAAGGAAATACTTTTTGCTAATGTTATTGTTGCTTGCACATTAAGATCTTTACCTTTTAAACTGGAGCTTTGGAATACCATCTGGAAATACAGTATTTTACTTGAAGTCTAATGTATATTAATTGATCATGGTTTTTAAGCTGAATTCCTGTTCATAATCTATCATCAATAAATCATATTGAATGTGTGCCATAGAATTGGAATATGCCAACCTTACCAGAAACAAAGCTTTAGTAAACTTGGAGTGCATTCAATGATATCTAGATACATAGATGCATATAGAAGCCCAAATTCCATAGCTTTAACTGCAAAGCAATATTATATCAGTGGGATAATGCTTACAGCAGCAACAGACCACAATAATGCTTTCTTCACCAGTCTCTTGAGCCACATCTCTGTTGACACTTGGGGTGTTTTCCATTGAAGAGAAAAGCATCATTTACTTTAAAGCTGTGACCCAAAATGTAGAAAGTCTCAATTTGATATCTATCTACTCTGTTTTATGCACGATTTCTTACTTATATTACCTTGATTTTTCTTGATGGGTTAAAAAATGTCCAAATCTGTGAAACTGATGTGCAAGAAATAATTGTAAGGAAATTACAAAAAAATAAATGGATAAAATATTTTTAAAGATCACAAAGTATGTATTTGCTTAATTTTTCAGCTCAATCACAACATTTGTGATCAAAGTTTTATAATCAATAAATGATTTAAATGTAGTTTGGATGCAGTCTCCCAATGAAACCTTACTGAAAGAATTATGGAAAGTTGTTGTTTTCCCAGTAAGCTTAATAGAAGATGACTGGATACAAATATTATCATTTGAATAACATTTTCTGTTTCTCTAGAAAAGGATACACCTTCACCTGAGAAATCACAACTGAGTCCTGCCCAAAAAGAACGGATATCATTTCGAGACCATCCAGTTCAACTCAGCACTGGATGGGGAAGTGGCAAAAAGAAAACCAAATTATTGAAATAGTAATTGACCTACAGCATTTAAATCTAAATGCAATTTCTTCTCAGTTGGCATACAAATTATCATCATGTTTTAATGTCCTAGATGCAAAAAAACTTAAATATTGTATGTGCTGTATTTAATTTTACTCTCTATGATTTTCCAACTTCTCATTTTTTGGCAAAGAAGTTTTGTAAATGTTAAATAAATAAATAAATAAATGTTACTGAAATTTATTTTTGCAATGCAATTTAAACTTCAAAACCATCTGCAATTATAAACAAGTAATACATGAATGGAAGAATAAATTTGAAAGAAAATATACAATAATGGGTATATGATTTTTATTGTAGTGTACAGTTGAAATGGCTTGCATAAAATATGTGTATTAAGACAGATTTGTTCAGATTATATATTTAAAAAATAGTTAAAAATGGTCCCCAAGTCTAGATATTTTGCTTGGCTAATGTGTAAATTGGAATATATAACTGTTAGGAATATGTATTTATAAAGAATAAAATATTAAGTGTCATATCTCTCCATACATATGAATACTATAAATACATTTTGTGTACAGACCTTTTCAGAAAGTATTCATAGTATAACATATCTAGATAAGATTGAAAAAGTGCATACTTACAGTCCATTTAAATTCAGCAATGTTAAGTTTTATTTCATATTGCTAAATTATGTTCATTCTATGGTGTTCTGGCAGTCTTTTTATTCTCCAGAAATAAACTGTTATCAAAAACTACACAATTATTTTGGTCTACCTTAATGATTATTTGTAATTGTTAAAATCTTGTTTTTCAATGTCATAATAACTTTTCCCATTTCCATGAAATGATATCACTCTAACTAAATATGTTGGTTAATGCAGCAGATATTAGTGATAAAAACTGAGGTGGGGGTAATTACAATGAATCATCATCATCATCTATATTTGCTTATATATAATTGGATTCCACATTCAAAATTACTATCAAAATGAAAAAATAAGGATGAACAAAGATTCTAATCAATAAAATAAGTATGATATCCATACACAATAGTATGGCTGTATGTAAAACCTATTGTATCTTCCTTGACATACTAAAACTCCCATATTTTCTGTTTATATTAGTATCTTCAAATTAATATGAATTGAATATCTTTTTAGAAGAAAACCACAACAATAGAGGTAATAAAGGGTATCAGAGATGTTATGGGTAAGCTATTAAAAATACACAATCACTTCCCAACAACTTAGCATTTACAAAATTAAGTTCTATATTTTAATTTATCATATCACTGTATATTTTTTTAATGGGACTGCAGCCTAAATAGTTTTAGCTTCCTCAATTTACTTCTTAACTTCTTCAATTTCAGAATTGTGAATGCAAGTCAATTGAAAGCTAGTTGTGCAAAAAGTGGAGTGTAAAATGGTTGGTTTCAAGTTCAAATTTAGATATTTCCTGTTCTTGATTTATGGAATACAATTCTAGATTAATTTTCATTTTTCACTTTTGACTTAATGTAATAGTATTAAAGTTTAACTATGAAGTTTCAGCTTCATTTGTAGTGCAATTATAATAAAAATATGTACTTGTGTCCCAGAATACAATCTGAATGAAATCATAAAAAAGGGAGGTACTGCTTCTAAGCATTACGGTGGGTTAAGAACCAATCGTCTTTTGTCATCAATATGAGTCAATTTTACTTAATGAATACTGTGAATATGGGAATGAGAACACGATTATCATGTTGTGGTCTCAACTCAAAGTTGTCACCCTAAGCTCACTAACTTGAAAATTGCAATCTAATTTGAGAATTATAATATCATTGATACCAATAAATGTATCTTGCAAATACATTATTGTTTTACATATCTGGGTCTTGTTGGAAACTAAAAGTGGTTTTAGATCTAAAAAAATTGAAATTTCAGATGCTTTGGGATTATTTTTATTTTTAGAATGTTAAGACAAGGGAGAATGGTTGGAAATAATCAATTTAAAATGATATAATTATTGTAAATTAATTAATACATAAAGGTATTTTTAAAACATTTGAAAAGCTACAAAAAGAATATCACTTTTTAAAAACAGCCAAATGGCAATGTATTCAGTTAAAATACCTATTATGTTTGGCTATGACCTTCTTACCAGCCTCTAAAAGTCCAGATGTCTTACCTCTGTTGGTGAAAGTTTTTATAGGAGCTAAACCTAGAATTCATTATTACAAAAACTACAAAATGCTATAAAGATGGATTAAAAATTTATACTATATAGTATCTGTTATTGCAATTATAATTTAGGGTTTAACAACATAAGTATATTTCTTGTTTAAAAACATGATGTGATGGTGATATATTTTGACATTATAATAGATGTTTGAAAAAGAATGTTTGTTATCTTTTTATTACAGATGGAACAATTTTGAGGGAACATTAGTATGTATGTTTTGGATATATCCACTGGTAGTTTCTTCTTGGCTAGACAATAAATATTAATGGTGGAACAGTTTCTTGCAAGTAAATTAATGCTTTAATACAAATTAAACATAAATTATATTTGTACACTTTAGAACCTATATGAAGGCTCTGAATATATTATACATCAATGGTAGTACAAAAGATTATTTGAGATCACTCTTAAAAAGATTTGTAAATATCAGATTTTAAGTATAATTCAATTAAGCCTGTCAACTCTCATACAAGATCAGATAATATGATTCATATCTATGTTTGATTTGTAGTTTGAAAACTGAATGCCACAATGATATTTGAAATAGACAAAATTGGTTATCTTCCCTTTCTCTATTTTTTTGTCATTGTTTGATCACCTGTTTCTACTGTTTACTAATGCAGCTTTTTGTGATATTAATTTAAATTAAATGAAGTATACTCAAGAAACAAAAATACAGTTATGAATATAATTGTTTGAAATTTAATTATAGTAATTATGGAATGTGAATATGAACATGTATGTATGCCTGGTATTATTCCAGTTTCCTCTGCAACTCCAAAAAACACAGTTAATTAAAAGTGACAGCTGAGCTACAGAATTACATGTACAGTCATAGCATTTTTTTCTTATCTTTTTGAACCTTTATTGTAGCATAAAGATATCTGGCATGGCAACTCTCACTCTTCTAGATTTTTTTTTTCTTTTCACTCTTTTTTAAATTAATTTCTTAGAATATAAAATCCACAAATAAATTAGTAGGATTTGCTACAGATTTGCTACATACAACTCAAGCTACCTGCTTGAGTTTTAAAAATATCCCAATGTGTATACTATTAAAAAGGGCTGGAGCATTAAGGCTAAACATTGTCAAATATCTACTTTAGTATTAATGAGAGGAAGTTCCTATTAGTTTCATCAAAATTTGTATCTCAATGAAGTCAGGAGTAGTTGCTGAGGAATGGAAAAGTTCCTATTGCAGGACAAGTCAGCATCTCCTGCAAACTCACTGAAATACTATTTTTCCATCCTTCCACTCCAAAACAGACCTAAAGACCTTTTACTTTCTTTCACATCCTACCAAGCCCAAGTCTGTAACATTAACTTAACGTATTTCCCCCCTATTGAATCGCTCCAGCTTCTAGCTTCCCCCAGTTATAACAGATGCAATGTAAAGCTGGGTTCAACTATTGGGTGATTCTATGTCACTAACAGGAAAATCACTGATGAAATATTAGCACTTCTAGAGAAGAAGAAATAGTCTCAAGTACCTTCCTCATATCCCACATTGCAGAATGTGGGATTCCTAAAACTCTGTGATTCTTTCAGATTTATCTTTAGCCAATAGAAGTACAAGAATCCTATTTGTTGCAAAGTACTTGTCGGATTAGAACTCTTCAGTATTTTCTATTATTTTGGATAGGAATTAGATTTCATATATCGTGGATTATCTAGATTTCTTGGTGATTTATAATGAAATAACAAAAACAGGATGCTAAGCTGGTTTAAAGCAAAGAATGGAGATTCTTTTCTAAATATATCCCCTATTAGTTTCTTAGCCTGGGGGGAATCTGGCTTAATTCAGGTTGAAAGTCCAAATTGGGTGGCTTGAATCAAACCCTGGAACAGCAAAGCTAACGCATTTTCTCCACCAGCTGTGAGCTGCCATAGCTCTTTAGTAGAAGTGAAGGTGATGTCACATGTGCCATGCTGTCATCTGGCAAATGTCAAGAATCATGTGGTCTGCATTATTTGCACCATGATGTCATGAAATGCCTGGCGTCACATTTCTTCTGCAGACACCAAGTCTGCACACGTGGTCCCCATGAAAATTAGGTAATCCAGGGACATTGTTTCTTGTATCTCTAGTAGCTGCTCCTAAAGAAATCACATTTAGGTACTCAAACTCAAAAGCAGCTAAACTGTACGTAGGTTTGATCATATGTGCCAAAGCAGAGTTTCTTTCTCACTAATCTGCAGGCAATCTGTCTGATCAGTGCATTGCGAGTGTTCTTTGATTGTTGTATGGAGGCCCATTTAATTCCACTGGAACACATTTTATTTTGTTAGAGTGAATTTCAGAGACTTCCCTTCATGTCGGGAGGAGGTTTTTATTCTTATCTAAGAGAGCATGAAAGAACAAATATTAAAATTGGGTTTTAAATAGGAACAGTAGGCAGTAGCTGGCTAATTCAGCTGTGTCACTTCATATCTCTGAGAAAGAAGGAAAAAAGTCTCCAGGAAAAGAAACCATTTAGTCATAAGATTTTGATATTATGCCAATTTTCTACAAGCCTTTATGTAAGCAAGTTAAAAGGAAGGTGATTGGTTATCCAAAAAGTCTCAGCAGTTCTATTTTCACTCTGTGTTTGTGAGTGTAACTTTCCTATCAAACCAAAACTGTCCCATCCATGGAAAAAGATTTGACAATTCTATAGGACTTTAATCTAAGTTGCTAGAGGAGCAAACCAATATGGCTGGGGAGAGGAATTAAGTGAATGAAACCCAAAAAACGGGGGGGGGGGAGGAATTGTTCTTGGTTACTAATTGGGTTACTTTGAGCCAAACATTTTTTACTCAGCCCAACCCACTTCACAGGGTTGTTGTGGGGAAAATAAGAGGATTGTATGTCGATTTGTTTTGCCCAATTATTCGTAAAAATAATAAAAATAGAATATAAACAAACCATATTTTCTCTCTCTCTCTCTCTCTCTCTCTCTCTCTCTCTCTCTCTCTCTCTCTCTC